CCCCCCCCCGGTGACCCCCCCCAATCCGTGTCCCCCAGCGGTGGGCTCAGCAATCTGCTCTTCAAATGCTCGCTGCCCGACCACGTGCGCAGTGTCGGGGATGAACCCCGCCAGGTGCTGCTGCGTGTCTATGGGGCCATCCTACAGGTGAGCCCCCCCGCCTCCCCCTGACCCCCACAGCCCCTCCGTCACCCCCTCCCCGACACCCTGACCCCCTTCCCACCCCCCTCCCCCAGGGCATGGATTCCTTGGTGCTGGAGAGCGTCATGTTCGCCATCCTGGCTGAGCGGGCGCTGGGGCCACGGCTGTATGGGGTTTTCCCCCAGGGGAGGCTGGAGCAATACGTGCCGGTACGGTGTGGGGTGTGCTGGGATGGGAGTGGGGGGTGGGGGGGTTTTAGGGGGGGTTGGGGATGGGGGGGGGGTGGCGATGCCGTTTGCTGATAGCGATGGGAGCGGAGCTCTTCAGCATCTGCATCCATCGCAGCATCGCAGGATGGTTTGGGTTGGAAGGGACCTCAGGGATGATGAAGCTCCAACCCCTGTGCCATGCAGGGCCATAGGGACACCATAGGGACACCATTGGGATACATGGAGATCCATAGGGACAACGTGGGGACACCATAGGGACACCACTGGGACACCATAGGGACACATGGGGACCCATAGCGACACCGTAGGGATACATGGAAACCCATAGGGATACCATAGGGATACATGGAGACTCATAGGGACACCATAGGGACACCACTGGAACACCATAGGGACACATGGAGACCCATAGAGACACCATAGGGATACATGGGGAACCCATAGGAATACGTGGGGACCCATAGGGACACGTGGGGACCCATAGGGATACGTGGGGGACCATAAGGATACATAGAGACCCTATAGAGACGTGTAGGGACACCATAGGGATACATGGAGACCCATAGAGACACCATAGGGATACATGGGGACCCATAGGGACACGTGGGGAACCACAGGGACACGTGGGGGACCATAGGGATACGTGGGGGACCATAACGATACATAGAGATCCTATAGAGACGTGTAGGGACACCACAGAGATACATGGAGACACATAGGGACACCACTGGGATACATGGAGACTCATAGGGACACCATAGGGACACCACACCATTGCAGTGTATGGCAGCGGCGTGGGGAACCCATAGGGATACATGGGGGACCACAGGGATACATAGAGACACATGGAGACCCGTGGGGAACCATAGGGATACATGGGGACCCATAGGGACACCATAGGGACACCATAGGGATACATGGAGACCCATAGGAACACCATAGGGGTACATGGAATCACAGCATCACAGAGTGGTTTGGGTTGGAAGGGACCTCAAGGATGACGAAGCTCCAACCCCTGTGCCATGCAGGGCCATAGGGACACCATAGGGATACGTGGGGAACCATAGGGATACATGGGGGACCATAGGGACACCATAGGGATACCTGGGGAGCCATAGGGAACCATAGGGACACATGGGGACCCATAGGAACACCATAGGGATACATGGAGACCCATAGGGACACCATAGGGACACCATAGGGATACATGGAGTCACGGCATCACAGAACGGTTTGGGTTGGAAGGGACCTCAGGGATGATGAAGCTTTAACCCCCTGTGCCATGCAGGGCCATAGGGGTACGTGGGGAACCCATAGGAATACGTGGGGAACCATAGGGATACGTGGGGGACCAATAGGGATACATGGGGGACCATAGGGATACGTGGGGAACCATAGGGACACCATAGGGATACATGGAGACCCATAGGGACACCATAGGGACACCATAGGGAACCATAGGGATACATGGAGAGCCATAGGGATACATGAGGGACCATAGGGATACATGGAGAACTGTAGGGATACATAGAGACCCTATAGAGACCCGTAGGGACACCATAGGGGGGATACATGGAGAACTGTAGGGATACATAGAGACCCTATAGAGACCCGTAGGGACACCATAGGGATACATGGAGACCCATAGGGACCATAGGGACACCATGGAGCCCCATAGGGACACCATGGGGACACCACGGGGATACATGCAGACCTATGGGGACACCATAAGGACAGCATAGGGACTCCATAGGGATACATGTGGACTCATAGGGACTCCATAGGGATACATGGAGACCCATAGGGACACCATAGGGACACCATAGGGACACCATAGGGATACATGGAGACCCATAGGGACATCAGAGGGACACCATAGGGATACATGGAGACCCATAGGGACACCATAGGGACATCATGGGGACACCATAGGGACACCATAGGGATACATGGAGACCCATGGGGACACCATAGGGGTACATGGAGACCCAGAGGGAGATCATGGGGACACCATAGGGACACCATAGGGACACCATAGGGATACATGGAGACCCATAGGGACACCATAGGGACACCATAGGGACTCCATAGGGATACATGGAGACCCATAGGGACACCATAGGGACATCATGGGGACACCATAGGGAACCATAGGGACACCATAGGGAACCATAGGGACAACCTGGCCTTGAACACGTCCAGGGATGGACGGGGCACCTGCAGCCCCTCTGGGCAGCTGTTGGCACGGGCTGGTGGTGATGGGACAAGGGGGAATGGCTTTGAAGTGAGACAGGGGAGGTTTGGGTTGGATATGAGGAGGAAGGTTTTCAGCCAGAGGGTGGTGAGGCACTGGAACAGGTTGCCCAAGGAGGCTGTGGATGCCCCATCCCTGCAGGCATCCGAGGCCAGGCTGGATGTGGCTCTGCGTCCCTTTAAGGGATCTCTGGGTCCCTATGGGGGATCTGTGTGTCCCTTTAAGGGATCTGTGGGTCTCTATGGGGTTCTATGGGGGATATATGGGTATCTCTGGGTCCCTATGGGGGATCTGTGAGTATGTGTCCCTGTGGGGGATCTGTGAGTCCCTATGGGTCTCTGTGGGGTCCCTATGGGGGATCTGTGGGTCCCTATGGGGATCTGTGTGTCCCTGTGGGGGATTTATGGAGGATCTATGGGTCACTATGGGTCCCTATGGGGGATCTCTGGTCCCTTTGGGGATCTATGGGGGATCTATGGGTCTTATGGGTCCCAATAGGGATCTGTGTGTCCTTGTTGGGGATCTCCGGGTCCCTATGGGGGATCTGTGAGTCCCTATGGGTCTCTATGGGGTATCTATGGGAGATATATGGGTATCTCTGGGTCCCTATGGTCTGTGAGTCCCTATGGGTCTCTATGGGGTATCTATGGGAGATATATGGGTATCTCTGGGTCCCTATGGGGATCTGTGTGTCCCTTTAAGGGATCTCTGGGTCCCTGTGGGGGATCTGTGAGTCCCTATGGGTCTCTATGGGGGATATATGGGGATCTTTGGGGATTTATGGGGGATCTCTGGGTCCCTATGTGGGATCTATGAGTCCCTTTAAGGGATCTATGGGCCACTATGGGGGATCTATGTGTCCCTTTAAGGGATCTGTGTGTTCCTATGGGGATCTGTGGGTCTCTATGTATCCCTGTGGGGGATCTGTGAGTCCCTATGGGTCCCTATGGGGTATCTATGGGAGTATATGGGTATCTCTGCGTCCCTTTAAAGGATCTCTGCATCCTTTTAAGGGATCTCTGGGTCCCTATGGGGGATCTGTGTGTCCCTTTAAAGGATCTGTGGGTCTCTATGGGGTTCTATGGGGGATATATGGGTATCTCTGGGTCCCTATGGGGGATCTGTGAGTCTCTATGTGTCCCTGTGGGGGATCTGTGAGTCCCTATGGGTCTCTATGGGGTATCTATGGGGGTATATGGGTATCTTTGGGGATCTATGGGGGATCTGTGTGTCTCTATGGGGGATCTCTGGGTCCCTATGGGGAATCTGTGGGTCTCTATCTGTCCCTGTGGGGGATCTGTGAGTCCCTCTGGGTCTCCATGGGGTCCCTATGGGGGATCTGTGGGTCCCTATGGGGATCTGTGTGTCCCTGTGGGGGATTTATGGAGGATCTATGGGTCACTATTGGTCCCTATGGGGGATCTCTGGTCCCTTTGGGGATCTATGGGGGATCTATGGGTTTTATGGGTCTCAATAGGGATCTATGGGGGATCTATGGGTCTTATGGGTCCCAATAGGGATCTGTGTGTCCTTGTTGGGGATCTCCG